TTTCTGACAGAGTATTGATTTTCACGTATGACGTCCAATGGGCTTTGCTTCTATCACAATGAGCCCGGTTCTCTCACAAAATTTCAGGTAAAATGGTCATGTGGCTCAAAAGAAAAGCTCTTTTGTCCCCTCGGTGCCGTCGTGTACTGTTAAACGCGATGAAATCAAACTGATTGTTCGCCAACTTGGCATTCCAAGCCCGCTGCCCAACAAATACCGATACTACGTCACTGCCGAGGAAGCCCTTTGCATACTTCTAAACCGATTTGCATGGCCGCACCGTCTTGGGTCGATGGTGCTCCTGTTTGGAAGAAGTCGCGAGGCGATTTGCGCAATTGCACATGAAGCCATGGCATTTTTGTACTCTCGATTTCACACTCTGCTCAGATGGGACGATAGGTGTCTTAATGGCAACTGGATGCGCCAATGCGCTTCTGCAATCCACGAGAGGGGAGCCCCATTGGACACCTGAATTGGTTTCATTGACGGTACAGTGCGTGGAATTTGTCGTCCAGGAAATGGGCTACAATCAGTAGCGTACAACGGGCACAAGGTTCGTGATGATGTTGCTGAATTCGCTAACGCTACGTTAGAGAAAACATGCTTTGAAGTTTCAAGCGATCACGTCGCCGGATGGCATATTTGTGCACTTGTATGGCCTAGAACCGGGGTCACGACATGATGCGTATGTTTTGGACCGCAGCAACATTGTTCCGTATTTGCACGATCGCTTAGTGTCCGATGGGACGCCCTATGTCGTTTACGGCGACCCGGTCTATGGAGTCAACAATGTGATCCTGAGTGGGTTCAAAGGATCGCGATTGACCTCATCGCAAAAATTGTTCAACAGTGCCATGAGCTCTGTTAGGGTGAGCGTCGAGTGGGGATTTGGACTTGTTGCGAAGCTTTGGACATTTATTGATTACCATGGAGGCCAAAACCTTGGTTCACAGCCTGTTGGAATGCATTGTGCAGTAGCTGTTCTACTGACAAATATTCATACATGCGTAAAAGGCGAAACCAAATCTCAACGTTTTTTGGCGTCCAACCTCCAAGCCTGGAAGATTATTTGTACTCCCAGTCGAATCATTAATCATGCAATTCTGTTTTCATTATTGCTTTGGCACAAATGAGCGCAACACTTCCAGTGTTTCTTGAATAAGTTTCCATTGGTTCTCTCTGTCTCGCTTGTCCAGTTCAAGTCGAGCTTCCCTTTCGGCCTTGTCCAGGGCAAATCTTGCTTCTTCCAGCTCTAGGCGTCGTTGGGCCAATGCGTTTGCTTGTAAGGCACTTTGGATTTCCGACGTCTTGATTTCATTTGCACGCTCAAAGTGCAATGCAAAGCTGTCTAAAGCACTTCCTGTTCTTGTTACCTTCTGAATCTTTCGCGGTTTTCTCTCCTTGGTGTCCTCCGACTCTGCATCACTGTCGCTTGGAACATCAAGCGACTTTTTCTTCTCGGCGTGCGCTCGCATCGCAGCATCCCTCAGCCTCTCACCGTCACTCTCACGCTTTTCGACCTTGGCAAGCTTCTCTTCCTTTAGCATGCGCTTTCGAGAGTGCGATTGATCTATCTGTGTATGAGTCAGCATGTCAGCATCATTGTCCTTTAAAGCTCTTACCAAGTCAACAATGTCTTGCAGGAACTGCTCACGCTCGCTGTACTCTTCTTCGGTTCCCGATGCTCGCAAAGAGCTGATGGTGTTGCGCTTGAACGCATCAGTAGATCGTCGAAACGCTTGCGGCACGAAGCGCTTGTCAGTCCATCTCCGTACGTCATGCACATTCTCACGGCAACCTCGTCCCATCGCGACTTCACCGCTCCATAAGGAGCGTCATATGGCTGAATGTGCATTACCTCTTTTAAGAGATCGATATCTGAAGCTGATTTGAACCGGAATGCTGCTTTGCGCTTGGCGTTCTCGTTCATGGGAAGGAATCGGACGGAAGAGGTCACAAGGAAAAAGTTTTCACTATGAGCTGTTCGGACAGTGAAATTCTCGAATCGCTTTATACGGATGTGTCGGATAAGTGGCCTCACAGTGATTTCTCACAAGGAATTCTACTTAGCAGAATTCGTCTAATACATTGGCAGAGAACTTCTATCCACATTGGTTTGATAATCTATGTCACTGTTAATCCAAGTCAAATCCGATGTCGTCAATATCTTCGTCAACATCGTCATCGTTTTCGTCTGAAGTGTCACGGACAACCGATGCCATAAGTGCTTGATCCCAATAATATCTATTTGATCCAGGACGCAAGGACTACCGATGCGGAGAGTACTGCAGCTTGCTCAGACTGAAAAGTCGTTCAACGTCCTTCGATGCGGGTACAATAAGAGACGTACACACATACCCC